CTAGCCCATAATTGCAGCAGGTTGTAATCTTTTTGGATGCCTCCAAGGCCATTAGCTACATCGAAACCATTCTTCGATACATTTGCATTTATTAAACCCTTACTAGGTGGTAGCTCTATGGTAGCTAGTGTAAGTGGGGGGAGAGGTGGAGAAAGAAATGGAAAATGTGATCCTGGCCACTGGAGAGGTTCTTCAAGGCTTGTGATAGAGCTGAAGTTTTTGGTTTGGCTTTCAAGGCCTTTTGAAATTTGGCTCTTGCCCTTCCCCACCCACATATTCAACCCCTGTGTTCTGTTTCTTCCTCTTCATTGGTATCAGGGTAGTCTTCTCACTATCTCCCAAATTTGGCACGTTCATTCTTAACCTTTGTGCTGTGCTAACTCCTACTTCCCATTCAACCTATAGGACACAGTTATCACCTCAATATTACAGATAGGAATACCGAGACTTCTCATAAAGAGGAGTTTTAGACTGGATTTTTCAGGCCAATAGGAGATACCATCTCCATTTTATAGATTAGGAAAGAGGCTTACAGGGGTTAAGTAACTTTCCAAGGTGGAGTCAGGATTTAAACCTAGAGCTTTCTGACTGGCTCTAAATCCAGGACTCTCGTGGTGTTGATATGAGAACGAAATAAGATAAAAATATGCATGAAACCTCCAACACAGTGACCGGCACATATAGGTCACGTAGTTTCCTTATAGTTCATTCCGTATTGATAAAGCAAGCAAACAAAAAAGCATGAATTATTCTTTTAAAACGCAGTTCAGTTCATAGCAAAATAAATGAATTTATACGGGGTGTTCCTTAACTCTGAACACCTGCAATCCTCATCTTCTGAATCATAAAACGGGGTGGGGTGGGGTGGGGGGCCGAAAATTACTGCTCAGTGTCACCACTCAAAATGCCAGTTTACATGTTGCTGTCCATGGTGCTGACACGTTGATGTTCAATCTCTCCTGGAAATTTTGCTCTAAATGTCAGGATAAGGGGTGGCAACAAAGAGGAGAGGGACAGGAACAAAAAAAGACAATGGAGATAGAAGCTGTTGGAAAGGCCTATTTTCTTAGAAAAATTTCCAGGGAGTTAAAAGAGAGACTTTTGTTTGCTATTCTTTTCAAATGCAAAAGTCCTTTGTCACTCTAACTCAGGAATCAAAGAGCTACAAATACATTTTTATATAAAACCTTTGATCTCCAAAGTCTTGCTACTGGTGCTATCAGAAAATAAGGATCAAACAGATGTGTATAACACAGTATCTCTCACTGTGCAAACTTGCTTTTTCAATCTCAGAAGTGGAAATAATTTAAATAGTGAGGGACAGTGGTAATTGCAGTTCATTTATTCTAGCAACGTTTATTGAGCCTGCTATATCCCCGAGCAACCAGACATGGAGTGTTGAACAAGAAGGATGGGGGTCACTGTTGTCATGGAGATAACGTTTTTGTGAGAGAGGACTGAAGATAAACAAATATAAATAATTTCAGATACTAATAAGTACTATGAAGAGAATAACCAGCAGTTATCAAGAAAGTTATCTGATTTGGGGGACTTGTATGTGTGGAGGATATTATATGTAATTGATAATACTCACAATTACTAACATTAATCTAGTGCTATGTGTCATGTGCTATCTCAATAACTTTAGCTGCATAACTCATTTAATAATTACAACAACTCAAGGTGGCTGCCATTATTATCCCCATTTTATAGATGGGACAGCGGAGGCACAGGAAATGTAAGTCCTTGTGCAAGGTCATATGGTATTTAACTTTCTCCGACTTACTTTATTGCTAACCCACACCGTCAGTAATATCCCCATTATACAGAGTGAAGTATGTCTGGGTGTGTTTGTAACTTTATTGCTGAGGGTTCCTTTTCTTGGGAATTCCTGTGTTGGCTTCCAGAAAGTTATGTGACAGTTTCAAATATGGCAGGGCTGAAACTGGCTCACTTTCCCGTAGTGCTTTCCGTGTTTACCCCAAGCGTTTCTCGCCTCTCAATTCTGTGAATATAACCCTTCCATTACTTACTTCTTCTCACAGAGTCTTGGCGTGGCTGCTCTGATCAGCAGCAGGGACACTCATCAGAGCACACTCACTTTTGTTATTCGTCTCAAACAGCATTCACCCAAGTTCTGCCCTCAAAACTGCTTTAAAACTTGTTATTTTGAAATCTCCTCAGTCATGTAAGTTTTTCTCATCGGATGTAAGAAGTTTCATGCCTTCTATCTTCACCATCACCGACATGTATTACCTGCCTACTGTGGACAGTGAATCCCTTTAGACTTGTTATTTCATTTAATTTTCATGACAAGACCATCAAATAGGCATCATCGCAGTGTCAGGACTGAGCCGAGGTGCAGAGAGGTTAAGGAAAGAGCTCATGGGTGGTGGGATCAAGGTTCTAACTGTAGTGCCTGGGACATTGAAGTCAGAGCTTTCTCTCTATCACACATCCTCAGGTCTCTGTATCCTTCCCTCATAATAAGTTTGTAAATTATAGAACAAAACACCCTAAGCACAAAACTCTTTGAAGTGCACGTTCTATTCCCTATTCCCTGTGCTTTTATCCAGTGAAGGCTGAAACTCTGTAGCTTTGAGCTCCTTGTCTCTCTCTCTTTTTTAAAAAAAAATATTTTATTGATTTTTTTACAGAGAGGAAGGGAGAGGGATAGAGAGTTAGAAACATCAATGAGAGAGAAACATCGATCAGCCGCCTCCTGCACACCTCCTACTAGGGATGTGCCCGCAACCAAGGAACATGTCCTTGACTGGAATCGAACCCAAGACCTTTCAGTCCTCAGGTCGACGCTCTATCCACTGAGCCAGACCGGTTAGGGCGAGCTCCTTGTCTCTTGTCTCTCCTTGCCAGTCAGCTTAATTCTGCTGCCAACACAAGCTCTCTCTCTCTCCTATCCCTGTTACATAATATCCTGTGCTTGATTTACACTGGATTCCAAATCAGTTGTAAATTTTAGTAAGTTGTAAATCCATGGTATCTCTCACTCCTGCTCTGCACCCCCGCCCCAGTCCCCTGTGATGATCTCTTATTCCCACTGTCGTCAAATTGAGATTTCATTTGTCATGTCTGCTCATCTTCGAGTCATCTCAGGTCTGAGCAAAGCAGTGGGGACAGTTCCTTTCTTTCACCATCTGTGCTCTCTAGGAGGTTAATGTAGCGATATTTGTAACAATTAGTGAAAAGGAGTCTGCTCTGTGATCCTTCCCACCTGTAGATACACTTCTGGGTTTGGTTTTTTTGAGGCTAGATTTTTGGGGTCTGGGAACAAGATTCCAAGACTACAAAATTGTTCAGTGGCGAAGTGCAAAGATTCGAATGCCCGACCACCACAATAATAATAGCTGATATTTATGGAACACTTCTCATTTATTGAGCTAGGCATTATTCAGGGAAACTTCTATTATGGCATGCGACATTTATCAACACAACAACCCTGTGACTTCTGCTATTACCCCCATTTTACAGGTAAGGAAATCTAGGCAGAGGGAGTTAAGAACTTTACGGTTATCAGTTTAAAGGTGGCAGTGTCAGGATTTGAACCCAGGCAGTCTTCTGCGCCCCCCCTGCCCAAGGGTGGATGTGTTCTGGAAAGGGCTCTGTATCTGAAGTTAGGAAATGGCATGGGTCCTGGCCCTACCATTCCCTAGTTGGCTATTTACAGGGGAGGGCTCTGTATCTGAAGTTAGGAAATGGCATGGGTCCTGGCCCTACCATTCCCTAGTTGGCTATTTACAGGGGAGGGACGCTTTGTTTTTCTGTTTGTAAAACGAGGACACACTGGGTTGATGGGACAGTAAATGAGCTGTGTGTAAAAGTGCATTATGAGCCACACAGTGAAGACCAGATGCAGCATTATGATACTGTCTCCTCTCACTGCTCTCCTTCAGCTGCAGCCTCAGTTTACCTAGATTTGATTCAAAACACATGATGAGACTGCAAGGCGCTGGCATTAAAAAGTCACCCCATATTTTGTCAAGCTTATGGGTTGCTTCCTCACCATATCTGCTTCATTCAAACTATGAAAACACCCGGGTTTTGATCCATTAGAGGAACGTAAACTATTTGGAGGGTTTCTGCACTTTGACTTCAGTTGATATTGGCGTTCTGCTCTCATAAACCCACCGTGCCAAAGTCCAGCTTCTTGTAGGAGTCCCACCTCCCCCAGCGTCGGGCCCTGATGTAGAGCAGACAGAGCCCGGGAGGCGTGATGCTTGGGAGGAACAGGGTCCAGTACTGCTTGGTTTTCTGTGCCAAACCCATGAGCAGCTTGCTTTCTAGGGGAAATACCTCATTGCTGGGGCAGCAGTCCCTCAGTGGGAAACATCAAGGTGTAGTGGAGAGAACACGGGGGGATCTGGGTCTGGTTGAACACTGGCTCCCAAAATGCTCCCAAGTTCCCTGTAGCTGAGGCCAAGCTGAGTTTATTGCTTGCGTCAGTCCAGGGAACACTGCCTTGATGGAGTCCTGGTGTCTCAGAGGGAGGAGAGTAAATTATGAGGTGTTTAGGGTGTCTTAATTAGGATTGGGCGAAGATCAAGATATAATAGTTGAAGATTATTATAACAAGCGAACACAGCAAGCCAATCATTTCAAAGGCTCTTGGAGTGTCAATAGTCATTTGATGCTATGCATTGAAAAATTAGGCACTTTTTAAAAAATATATTTTATTGATTTTTCACAGAGAGGAAGGGAGAGAGATAGAGAGTTAGAAACATCGATGAGAGAGAAACATCGATCAGTTGCCTCCTGCACATCTCCCACTGGGGATGCGCCTGCAACCCAGGCACATGCCCTGGCCCGGAATCGAACCTGGGACCCCTCAGTCCGCAGGCCGACGCTCCATCCACTGAGCCAAACCGGCTTCGGCGAAAAATTAGGCACTTTTAAGTAGATTTTTTGGGGAAGTCCCCGAAATGAATAGCAGAGTTATTTGCAGCTTTTATCTTCCTGGCTAAGATTTTTCTGGAAGAACGAAGTTATGTTGGTGAAGACAGTAGAATAGTTAAAGTCCTGTCAGTGAAATCAACTGAACAGTCACATGAATGTAGACAGTGAGCTGTGTGGGTATAGACAGCTGTGTGGGTGTAGACAGTGAGCTGTGTGGTGTAGACAGTGAGCTGTGGGGGTGTAGAGTAGACAGTGAGCTCTGTGGTGTAGACAGTGAGCTGTGGGGGTGTAGAGTAGACAGTGAGCTCTGTGGTGTAGACAGTGAGCTGTGGGGGTGTAGAGTAGACAGTGAGCTCTGTGGTGTAGACAGTGAGCTGTGGGGGTGTAGAGTAGACAGTGAGCTCTGTGGTGTAGACAGTGAGCTGTGGGGGTGTAGAGTAGACAGTGAGCTCTGTGGTGTAGACAGTGAGCTGTGGGGGTGTAGAGTAGACAGTGAGCTCTGTGGTGTAGACAGTGAGCTGTGGGGGTGTAGAGTAGACAGTGAGCTCTGTGGTGTAGACAGTGAGCTGTGGGGGTGTAGAGTAGACAGTGAGCTCTGTGGTGTAGACAGTGAGCTGTGGGGGTGTAGAGTAGACAGTGAGCTCTGTGGTGTAGACAGTGAGCTGTGGGGGTGTAGAGTAGACAGTGAGCTCTGTGGTGTAGACAGTGAGCTGTGGGGGTGTAGAGTAGACAGTGAGCTCTGTGGTGTAGACAGTGAGCTGTGGGGGTGTAGAGTAGACAGTGAGCTCTGTGGTGTAGACAGTGAGCTGTGGGGGTGTAGAGTAGACAGTGAGCTCTGTGGTGTAGACAGTGAGCTGTGGGGGTGTAGAGTAGACAGTGAGCTCTGTGGTGTAGACAGTGAGCTGTGGGGGTGTAGAGTAGACAGTGAGCTCTGTGGTGTAGACAGTGAGCTGTGGGGGTGTAGAGTAGACAGTGAGCTCTGTGGTGTAGACAGTGAGCTGTGGGGGTGTAGAGTAGACAGTGAGCTCTGTGGTGTAGACAGTGAGCTGTGGGGGTGTAGAGTAGACAGTGAGCTCTGTGGTGTAGACAGTGAGCTGTGGGGGTGTAGAGTAGACAGTGAGCTCTGTGGTGTAGACAGTGAGCTGTGGGGGTGTAGAGTAGACAGTGAGCTCTGTGGTGTAGACAGTGAGCTGTGGGGGTGTAGAGTAGACAGTGAGCTCTGTGGTGTAGACAGTGAGCTGTGGGGGTGTAGAGTAGACAGTGAGCTCTGTGGTGTAGACAGTGAGCTGTGGGGGTGTAGAGTAGACAGTGAGCTCTGTGGTGTAGACAGTGAGCTGTGGGGGTGTAGAGTAGACAGTGAGCTCTGTGGTGTAGACAGTGAGCTGTGGGGGTGTAGAGTAGACAGTGAGCTCTGTGGTGTAGACAGTGAGCTGTGGGGGTGTAGAGTAGACAGTGAGCTCTGTGGTGTAGACAGTGAGCTGTGGGGGTGTAGAGTAGACAGTGAGCTCTGTGGTGTAGACAGTGAGCTGTGGGGGTGTAGAGTAGACAGTGAGCTCTGTGGTGTAGACAGTGAGCTGTGGGGGTGTAGAGTAGACAGTGAGCTCTGTGGTGTAGACAGTGAGCTGTGGGGGTGTAGAGTAGACAGTGAGCTCTGTGGTGTAGACAGTGAGCTGTGGGGGTGTAGAGTAGACAGTGAGCTCTGTGGTGTAGACAGTGAGCTGTGGGGGTGTAGACAGTGAGCTGTGTGGGGTAGACAGTGAGCTGTGTGGTAGACAGTGAGCTGTGTGGTGTAGACAGTTTTGGATTCTCAGCCTGACCCCTGGCAGTAACTTACCAGCTGTGTGACCGTAGCCCTTATTTATGAAATAGAAACACTCATACCTACTTTTCAAGATATTTTTGAGGGTTATATTGTATGGTGTGTGTAACATACTTTGGTCAGAGTAAGTACTCAACTACTAGTTCCTATTCTTCATTCATTAGCACAAGCCATGGCTCCTCACAAGCTAAATTTTATTGCATTGATATGTGACTCTTTATCATATTCAGTTGCAGATAATTGAATTTACTCTAGCTAGTTCATGAAGAAGTGAGGTTTCTTATAAGTGTTAGTACTAAATTACCTTGCTGACTATTTGGGAGGGCTATAGAAGAGACACTAGGCTGAACTTTCGGGAATAACTTCTAAAACCACCTTGAAGAACTGGGCCTCTGCACAGTCACGAAGCTGCTTCATAGCTGAGGGTTGGAGAATTACACTGACGTAGCCATGACCCACGGCAGCAAAACAGATGCAGTGCACCCTGCCTTCCACTGCACCCGGCTTCACTCCTGATTAAAATCGTGCGCAATGCATATCTACTCACCAAAACTTAATTCACACACAAACCTAGCTGCAAGGGCATCTGGGAAGTATAGTTTTGGGTTTCCCAGCCTCTGCATGCTAGAAAGAAATTGGACTTGGTACTGAGTAAAACAGTTCACGTTATCTACCGTAGCATGCTGCTAAAGCTCTAACCTCAAAGCATGGTGGCTCCCTGGGGGAGGAGCCCAGGCACTGGCCTCTGCTCTCAGCCCATCCTTATCACTTCACTGCCCATTAGATGCCTGGTCTTCAAAAGGAGGAGAGATCAGGAGAGGAGGAGAAATAAATTGCTCTACATTGCTCCTTGCAGATAAAAGAGGAAAGGTTAAATCTCAATCATGCCATGTTGCATCTCTATTGTGCAGGTGGACATTTGCCACCACCAACATGCACGTCTTTTTTGAGACTTGTTCGCTGAATGAGAAAGGGGAAGAGTGGTGGAATCCTGGGATTTTGCCTGAGGCCAGCCCATTTCCTCGCTGTGCGTGTTTGTTAGCTCTGGCTGCTGTAACAAAATACCACAGACTGGTGGCTTAAACAACAGAAATTGATTTTCTCATAGTTCTGGGGGCTGGAAGTCCAAATTCAAGATGTTGGCAGGTTTGGTTTTTCCTGAGGCCTCTTTTCCTGGCTTGCAGATGGCCGGCTCCTGGCTGTGTCCTCACACAGCCTTTTCTCCATGTGTGCTCATCCCTGGTGTCTCTTCTTACAGGGACAGCAGTTCTATTGGATTAGGGCCCCACCTTTATGATTATTTAACTTTAATGACCTCTGTAAAAACCCTGTCTCCAAGTACAGTCACATTGCTAGGGTGTCAGTATATGAATTGGGGAAGGGGCACAATTTAGTCTGTAACACTGTGTGATCTTGGACAAGTCATTTAACCTCTGGCTTTAGTTTCTTCATGTATAAAATGAGAGGACTGGGGCATATGGCAGGGGTCCTCAAACTTTTTAAACAGGGGGCCAGTTCACTGTCCCTCAGACTGTTGGAGGGCCGGACTATAGTTTAAAAAAAAAAAAACTATGAACAAATTCCTATGCACACTGCACATATCTTATTTTGAAGTAAAAAAACAAAACGGGGACAAATACAATATGTGTATTTGCATGTGGCCCGCGGGCTGTAGTTTGAGGACCCTTGGCATATGGTCTCCTTTCAGCTCTTTGATTCTGTTATCTCTTTGGGAGAGTTTAACTCTGAAGTGACAGCCAGTGAGGGTAACTTGTTTTCCGAAGTGAGACCAGTGAGGTAGGCCACCTTCTTTGTGACCTTGACACCCCAATGCAGGGTGCCTACCTATTCCGTGCCCATTGCATCACTCTTCTAACATTTTGCACACTCACCGCCTTGTATTTCTAATGATTTCTTGGCACGTCTCTCTTTCCCACAGTCTTTTCAGACAAGGACTCCTTCCTTATCTTCGTACCCTGATCTGTGTAATCCATTAAAATGTCACTTTTTAAGACCAAACCTACCCTGCATGTTGTGCAAACAGAAAAAAAAACAGCAACAAAGCAATCTTCTAGGCCCCACCTTAGCCTCTGTTTGTGGATTGTTACCTCCAGCGAGCCTTGCGCCCGCGCCCCCTTATCCTCATTCCTCACGCCGCTAGCAGAAAGGACCACTTACTTTATTTCCAGGAACAGTGGGACCCCATCGGATAACTGGTGACGTGCAGGACGTACAGAGGCGAGCCAGCTCACGTGTTGCTACCGAGACAAACTATTGCCTTTGTGAAGCAGCAGAAAGAGGCCTCCCTGGAAGCGCGGGTTAATGTTGGTTTTCACAGTGAAGTATGGAAAGGTCAGAAGGAACGATCAAATTTTCATAGTGTTGATGCTGCCTCCTCCTCTTGCCTGTGCCTGGGATCCCATCCAAGGCAGGCGGTGTATGATTGACCGCCTTAACTGATGTGCGTAATCCATTAAAATGTCACTTTTTTAATTGCCGGAGCTCTTCCTCTGCAGCGCACACCTGCTGCTGCTGGGATGTACAGCCAGGGCCTGGGTGATTTGTGTTCGGGATGGAGGTGGCCACCTCTGCCGTCTGGGCTGCCCTCGGTAACGTCGCTCTGATCATCCTCACAAACGGGAGGCAAGCAG